AATAAGATGAATTAGTCACATGGTCAAAACGGTTAAATTACCATTTTTGCATGATGTTTTGCGATTTACGGTATAATTTTAATTTTGTTTTATTACATTGATTATTTATCTTTATAATGAATATTTAATATTATCCAATTTCTGGTGGATTTACTAAAGAATTTCGGAATTATTTGATGTGATCGTCGACTTCCCTGAATCAAAACCCGCGATTAATGATTTAATTGTGCGTCAAAATATTAAGAATAAAGTTTTATAAGGTCATTCTTGTATTTCGTTCGTCTGAAAATTTTATTTTCAAATTTGCTTAGATCTGTATGAGACGGTTAGATACAGATTATAGACATCGTCTCGTTCAATCTTTATATTCTGCGTAAGTCAACGAGCCTATGCAATTTATAATTTTAATGTCTATATTGATATAGACTTTTTGATTATAGATTTAAGAGAAGGCTGCTTATTCCTGGTGCAGGCACAAATGATATAATCAATACTTATATATCAACCGTTAAATGTCTGAGATTATTGGATCCTTCTGGTGTGCTTTTGGAAAAAATTACTGGACCGATTCGGAATTATTTGCGGTATGGTATAATCTGGATTGCCATGCAATTTACATACTTATGATAAAATTAATTATATGTATAGGACGCGTGAAGATGCCGCGCGATTTTTGGTAAACAGTTGGATGGATGATGAATGTAATAATGAATTGGTTGAGGAGCTTGGACATACGGAAAATCCTATTGAAGACCACGATGATTATGGTGTCTCTGATGATAATTGGGTACCTGATCCGATGGACGCTGGCCCTGGTTGTACACATTTTTCGAATTCTTTATTCATGCGAATTTAAACTTATACATTTATGTTTAAAATTCAGACTACAAATCATCGATGTATCGTTCGGCTGATATCACCAATTTACTTGTGAGTCTTTTCGATACTACGGATGTAATTACGGAAGAAATTCAGAATCAGATGGCATCTTGTTTATTATCGAAATTAGACTATGATACTGGAAGAGAGGTATTGCTAATAAGTACGATAAATATTACAAGATATATACATCTAATGAATCTAAACCAATTACAGCAAACTAAACTTGAATTATTTAAGCTACGCTTTGGAGAAGCAAAAATGGCACCCACGGAGGTCATGATTAAGGATATTGCAGATTCTAAAAGGATTGATACCAATATATATAATGAAATATCAATATCCAAGGCAGTAGGATTGGAAAATGTCAAAGAGGTATGTATTCTTCATTAAAATCATTTATATTGTGAAATGCTAAAAATTCATTTGAACTCGTTTCAGGCAGTGTTACACGGTTCTATTATTTCTAAATTATTTTGGCCTGCTCTAAAAAATGAAGATTTCGTTGTGCCTAAACCTATATCAGAGTATGAATTTATTACGTATTGTTTACTTAATTGATACTCAGCTAATCTATGATCTTTGTCATACATAAGGAACATGCAGAAATACGAAAACGCATTTCAAATTTTAAAACCTAGGAGAGAATTACAATGGTTATCATCACTCGGAAAGGTTCACGTGGAATTAGAATTACAAGATCGTGTGCTGGAATTTGAAGTCGCTCCAATATACGCGACGATCATTTATCACTTCCAAGAACAAGGTTAATATTATTTATGTCAGCTATTTAATTTCAATTGGATAATTTTTTTATAACTATTTATGTTTTCATATGTTTTCTAGATATATGGGATCTTCGTTCTTTGGCTGAAAAAATGAATATAGATCCTTCGAAGTTAAGAGGAAAAATGGGCTTCTGGGAGGAACGTGGTGTTTTGAAGTTGATTGCGGATGATAAATGGATTGTACTTGAAATTAGCGATTCGGGCCAATAATCTAAACCTAATTTTTTTGTCTTAGCTGGGTTTTGCTAGCTTGCAACCCGGTTTCATCCTGTCGCATGATAATGATTGATTCATGTAAAGCTTTTTATTATTACAAAGTTGTTTTTGTATATATTCACAAAAAGCAGGTAATAAATTGTTGTAATAATGTCGATGAAACTTTGTTCCCTAAAGTTGCTTCTGGCTACATAAAAATAGATACTAAAATATATGTCACAAAAATAATTAATTGGTAAATCGTTTTTGAAGGGATAAAAAAATGATAAATCTTATACAATAAACAAAATCGGAAATTTATATGTTAATTATTTACTACGTATAGAGTTTTTTCTTAATAACTAGCTCTTTAACCCTCGTAATACTTCGGGAAAAAAACAAATTTATATTAAAAATTATACTGTAGTAATATAAAATATCTATATATAGCATAATAAACATATAAGCTACATATTAATAAAAATCAAGCAGATTAACATTTTAAAAAAAAGACCTTTTTTTTGAATATTAATTTATCAAAATAACTTTAAAATTTATTAAAATATAAGTTGTAAAGTTAAGGAATTGATTTTTTTTAAAATATCAATCTGCTTGATTTTTAACTATATAGTTAATACCTTTAACATTAAAAAAAAAAAAAAAAAAAAAAACTATATATGATAGTTAATAAATTTTTTGATTTAGAATTAACAAAATCGTAAATTATATATAAGATGGTTTGGAAAAATGGCATTCCAATACGATTTCCGGCTGCTTAGTAATATTTTTAGTGTAGTAGGTCTAAATCATTTACATTATTATGTACTTTACCTGCAAATTATATCTAATATACGTACATATATCTAATATATATGTCATATTTGGTACCTATAGGTATGCCAGGTTTGTGGCGCAGCTTCAAGATCAGGTGTAACATAGAAAGATTCGTTTCTTTGGTGCTCTAACAAAAATATTTTCTTGAGCAATTTTGCTATACAGTAAAACCTCTCTAAGTGCATGCACTTGGGACCGGCATGCACTTAGATAACAATAAAAAAAAGTGCATTCATGAAGGTCATATATATATTTGGGTCAAAATGGATCAAAATCTGATTGTGCATTTAGAGAGGGTATGCACTTATAGAAGTTGTACTTAGAGAGGTTTCACTGTATATTGTACTATCTTAATACAAATGCTAACCCTAATTTTACATTTGACAGTATTAGGTAAGTATATACATATGGTCGCACCAAAGGCTTAGCTAATTAATTGTCCAACAGTTGATCGATTATAATTGTAATACGATCAAATCTAATCAAAAATCTTATGAAAAACTATGTTAGCTGTGTAATAACCCTCTTGGTTCGCTATTTGACTATCTTTCGCAACAATCTTAATATCTCGATGGGAATGAACTTGTGAAAGAGCAACATATAGCTGACCATGAGTAAACACAGGATCTGCAAGATAAAGTCCAAGCTTTGAAATCGTTTGTCCCTGTACCTTGTTGATTATTAGTGCAAAGACTAACTTGACTGGAAATTGATGTCGTCGCAACTTGAATGGGAGTTCTATATCAGATGGTTTAAGAATTATGCGTGGAATAAAAACATGTTGTCCAGCGCAGGAGCTAGTTATGATCTCTGCATCAAGGAAGTGCCGTTGAAAAGCACAAATAATCAGGCGTGTTCCGCTGCATAGACCTTTTTTTGCATTTAGGTTGCAAAGTAATATTACTGGTACACCTTTTTTAAGTACTAACTTGTGAGATAGTACACCATTGGGAGATAGCGTATTAAGGAATTCAGGAAGATAGAGTTTATTGTTAAGACCTTCAGAATCAACAACAGAATCAGCTGAACAGTATGTTTTTGCTTCACCGGAAAAGTTGGACAAAATCAGATTATTTATCTCATCAACACCCTGGTTTTTAGTTGTGAGAATTGCGTGTTCTAATATATATTTATGATCATTTTGCCTAGTTCTATGATCACCATAGATGTGAGTTATTAGTGTCTGTAAATTTCTGTGAAGCAGTATATTGTCAGGTAAACGAATATAGTCTTGACCAATGTTAGGGTAAGTAGTTTCCTTGCTCTACCCAATTTGGATAAGATAATCAGCAAATTCACGATTTTCAGCAGCTTCAGGCCCATACATTTGCTGAAGGCGCATGTTTTTTATAAGTGGCATTGACAGAATTGAATCCTAAAGATATGAATATTTGAGACTTGCATTAACAATTTGCTGCTGTGATCCACGAAGAATAACCGGCAATATTTGGCGAAAATCACCTCCAAGCACTATAAGTTTTTCACCAAAAGGTTTGTCAATGCCAGTAATGTCACGCAACAACCTATCAACAGCCTCGAAAGCAAACTTATGAGTCATAAGAGCTTCGTCCCAAACTATCAATTTTGACTCTAGTAAAAGATGAGCGTGGTCAGATTGTTTTGATAGATTGCACATTGAGGTTTCATCTAGTTGCAAAGGAATCTTTAAATGGGAATGTGCAGTTCGACCACCCATAAGCAACAGTGATGCAATTCCTGATGAAGCAAGAGCTAGTGCAATATAATTTCTAATGCAAAAGTAAGCTAAAAGGATAGTATATAAAAAAGTTTTGCCGGTGCCACTAAAGCCATCAACAAAAAAAATGGTGTGTTTAGAATTAGATTGTTCTGCAACTTCTATTATAGCATTATACACTGCACGTTGTTCATCATTTAACAGAGAAACTCCCTCGAGAATTCTCTATAACTCATCTCGTGAAAAAGATGATTCTTCTGCAAAAAGCTATGTTTGTCTATTAATGCTTAATAAATCATGCTATATGGTAGATAACTCAGGAAAGTCTGTAAGGTACTTTCCACGCTATCTAAAGTGATCTTCAATTTCAGCCAAAGCATAACTTACAATTAATAGATCCTCTGTCATACATATAGCCTAACTAGGAAGCTATCTATTCAAACTCTCTGGCTTCAACCAATGTCACATGTTTCCTTCT